TATACATGAAGTTTAAGTATAAAAACCGCCTCTCTAAACGTAGAGCCACGCATACCGGTAATTTGGCCTTTGTCGATGAAGACGCGGGATACGTCTGTGTTCTGTGTTCGGTGTCGTCTGTACGGCTGTGCCTAAAGTGCGGTACTACATCAAACGGCTTTTTGAACTCCCAAGGCTCGCGCCGCTGGTTCCTCACTGGATAGTACAGTCCGGTGTAAGCAAATGTGTCATTTGAAATGGGATTACTGAAGGAAATGTGGCACTTGAATTGGGTCGTGATAATGGAAAAATGGCATTTTAAATGGGCCTAGTCAAAGGAAATGTATCACATCAATGCCAGCTGTTAGGGTTTAGAGAGAATATGTTGAGGTCAACCGCTACATTGTGTACAGGCGAGCAAGGTGTGAATTTGGACAGCGCAGCAATACATATCCGACGGCAAACAAGCTATTTAGTTTCCATCAATTCATGCATATTTATCCCTGAATACACGTCCACGTATAAACAAAGCACTAAAACCCTAAACCCCTCAGTGAACTCAGTAGGTGTTTACCAGGTAGTCGACTGCTGTGTCCATATAACTACTTTAATTCATCTGTGCATGTGTACTTAATTCTGAATACACGCCATATATACATACAAGTCTACACCTCACACTGAACTCAGTAACCACTTACCAGGTATTCGATTGCTATCCTCGTATTCCCACGACTTCCGATGGTCTGGTAATGCTGTCGACGATTGACTGTAGTTGGATGTTAGGGTCGGTTTCGCCACTCTGTAGATATTTTTGACTGTTGTATAAACGGAAGGATCAGATAGTAAGTACCACAGACTCATGGGTAACACATTGTACAGTGCAAAATACTTTAAATAGGTTCGTTTACATCAACGTATGTGTATATATACAAACATACACACATACATACAAACGTATACATATATATATATATATATATGCATACATGCATACATGCATACATGCATACATGCATACATGCATACATGCATACATACATACATACATACCTACATACATACATACATGCATACATACCACACGCAAACACACACACATATATATGATATTATATGCTAATGTGGTTTGTTTCTACATCATGAGGTTCATTTAAACAACAGCATATCTTACAAAGGCAGATGTGCATCATTTGACTTTCAGTATTTAAAATACATACGTTTATGTTTCTCTGATATGAAGGCGTTGAATTCATACACCTTAACTACGGATACTGATACATATTAATACACTACATACATATTGCGCCACACACACACACACACACTGAGAGAGAGATATATATTTATATATATAGTAAAAGTTTACATATACACATACACACACACAAGCATACCAGTCTCAGCTGTATTGTCCTTCACATAGCCGTTGCTGCTATACTCCGTTTTGTGCACACCATAGTCTGATGTTGGCAGACGAGTAGAACGATAACCACGGTCCTCCGTACGTGTTTTACTAGAGTCGAGCCCTCCATCTCCATGCTACGCAAGTAGGTGGTAGTGTGAGCACAAGTGTCAGTGGTAGTTTAAGAGTCGCTTGTAGTAAAAGTGTCTGTGTTGCTATAAGTTTGCGAGGGTTGTTTGTAACACTGTTCGTATCCGAGCTGTACACGTCTGTCGCAATGTAAGCATAGGTGTTAATCCGAGCTGTACAGGTCTGTCAATANATATATA